ATAGAAGAGTGGCTGTCCCCAGCTAACGAGCCTCATCTGCCCGAGGGTAGCTGTTTATCGATATAGGCGTCGCCGGAAGCCATGCATCGTGGGTTTAAGCAGAAACAAAACTAAACCTACTAACTAATCAAAATACGCCTTTTTTCAAATTTCGGTATGCTAATAGAGGTCACGTCCTTAGTTGGTTAATTTGAAATGTGTAACCTCTGGCTGGGCGAGAGGCTAAGCTTTCGATCGCTGTTACACATGGCGCAGTAATGTAGTATTATACCTCTGGTATCAGCTGTTTCTTAGATTTACTAAGGATACCACTCTAGTTTAATATTATGTTCAATGTCTATACTCTGTCTGATGTCATTCTACGATGTAACACTAGGGGGGGGGGGGGGTAATGACATGTTTTTGTGTTCTAACACCATTGTTTTTCCAATGTTATGTACGGTGAGAATGTGTGAATAATGTATGTTTAGTTAACATGTAAAGATATCTTCTAAGATTAGTTCGTCCAAATGACGATCTTTTTTCACTTAAATCATAAGGTTGCGTGTTTTTTTAAGATGCCGCCCAGGTCGGTTCCCGCAATGTAAACTTGTTCAAGAGGTTACTTACAGGTTTCTCCTCTTATTTTTTACCTTGATACGTTTTCCTTACAATTTAAAAAACATTATTTTATTTACTTGTATATAGACTATTGCAATCATGGGAATTTTGAAAATTTAAAAAAAAATATATATATAATTAATAATATTTGCGCATGGAACTCCAGAGCCGCATCTTGGCTTCAAAAGAGCCGCAGGCGGCACACAAGCCGCAGGTTGCCGCCCGTGTCTTACTCTTTAAAGAACTTTATTTTTATATACTTGTATATAAACGATCAAAACAAGTTGCACACATTTATTAAACTAAAATTTTGTTATTGAACAAACTAAATATTTAAACATCGAAGGTTTAACATTTTTAATAGAATAATTAATCTTTTAAAAACCTTCTATTACACGTCAAATCTTACAAAGTAATACAGTTTGCAGAAAAAAATGTTAAATAATGTATGACAAAACTGATTTTATTTTCCTTCAATTACTCTTAGATTAATGTTTAGACGGTTATAATAAACAGTTCACATGGGTTAAATACCTTTTTTCGATTAAATGTTTACAAGGGAAGCCACCGTTAAATATATAGATTGACTAATTGTGAACATTGTTTGGGTACATTTTCAAACGAAATAAGAAAACCAAGTCTTTGGAATAATAATAATTTGGGGTACATTATCTCCAAAAACGTAAGAACCACTTTAGCGCTACGTCTATTGCTATAAATTTGTTCTAAGTTTTATAAACATCTAATCTAACATCAGACAATTAATGAGGGTGATAATACACATTTTCTTTGCTTAAAACAACAAATATTGTTACTTTTATTGTTACATTTTTGCATTATAAAAAAGCAATGTTAGATAATGAATTTTAGACGTTATTTCGCGTTTTCGATAACTGTTTTAATACATTGTAATAGTTTAGACAAGAGTTTGGAAAAATATCGATGTTTAAAAAAAATTCAACTGCAATTTTGAGGGGGGTTGTAGGTTGAGGTGTGACGTCATTTTAGGGGAGGGGGTCTGACTTTTTGTGACGACGTGTGACGGAGGGGAGGTAAAAATCGTCAAAAAAAGCGTGACGTCATTTATGGATGACCGCTTAATTGCTTTCTAGTTTTAACACATAGTCTACACAGTTACAAGTTATATACCTTGTTACAATTTTCTTTTGAAATGAGAAGTTACCAGACATATGTAATATGTATCGAACCAAAAAAAAAATCGTCATCAAAACAATACACATATTCCTCGGGATATATCTTGGATTCATGAATCCAGCAATCAGTTGTAACGTTTTAATAAAACATGTTGACGCTGTATTGGTGTGTATCGTCATTGTTTATATAGTCTAAACAAGGTTTAAGTAGAGCTGTGTTATAGATTATAGAGTATCGAAGATAGATAGATAGATAGATATATACACAGACAGCGAAACTATTATAAAAAATTTCTGGAGAGGCAATTCTAAACTCAGTATACCAGATAAATTTAAAGGAGATAATGCTTTTGTAATTTTCACGCAAACATTAGCGGATTTAACTGTGTTTTTTCAACTACCATTGAGTTGTTTTAACAAAAGTACAATCTCATTCCTAAACAATAGGTTCACATTTTTAGTTAGATGAAATAAATCCTATATGTTATGGCGTATGCATTCATAATTCGTTGTCAAAGAATGTATACGTCATAAAAGAGTCCCCAAATATCCAAATATTACAGAAATTTTTTGTTACAGATGCTAAATCTGCACTACATTTACTAAAAACCCAGAATCCAATCCTCAATCTTTCATGACAGCCCAGGTAAGGCTAAACAATACCTATAATAAGATTGTTGTGTAGTGGATCCTTGGGCTAAACAATACATGTAATATGATTTTTGTGTAGTGGATCCTTGGGCTAAACAATACATGTAATATGATTTTTGTGTAGTGGATCCTTGGGCTAAACAATACATGTAATATGATTTTTGTGTAGTGAATCCTTGGGCTAAACAATACATGTAATATGATTGTTGTGTAGTGGATCCTTGGGCTAAACAATACCTGTAATATGATTGTTGTGTAGTGGATCCTTGGACTAAACAATACATGTAATATGATTTTTGTGTAGTGGATCCTTGGGCTAAACAATACATGTAATATGATTGTTGTGTAGTGGATCCTTGGGCTAAACAATACATGTAATATGATTGTTGTGTAGTGGATCCTCGGGCTAAACCATACCTGTAAATACCTTGGCAATGAGGGCACGCTACCTTGAAATGTCCGCCAGTCCGGTTGAGGGGGGGGGAGATTATATGAGTTAAGAACGATTAATAGAATGATGAAAGGCTAGGGGAACGTAGTTTAAACCGAAGTTTTACAACTCAACAAAATACACTATACAATATTATAAATATAAATATTTTTACATAACGTAATGAATGATTGTAATAACTTTTAATACATGTTAAAATATGCACAAATGTTAATGTTTAATAAATATTATTAAATGAAATTGGAATGTAATATAAAATTTTAATTAAACTACTATCAAATTTATGTTTAAAGGCATTAAAAAAGAAAAGTATGCATTAATTACCTTACTAGTTGTAAATATATAAGTGGGACGTAACTAATAAATGTCTAATTTAATAACTGCGTAAATTGTTTCGTAAAACCTTTAAAAGAAGCTAAAAAGTCTATAGGGTGGTATAGGTGACATAAAATAAACATCCAAACCATGCTGATTGCAGAGATACCAATCAGAGCATGTGATTGTGTATTGCTGCAGTGGCGTATCTACCGTAAAGCTAGCGTAAGCAAAGCATAGTGGGTCCACGGCACATAAAGCCCTTTTTCTTGATTAAAAACATTAAAACTTGAATTTTAATATTTGCTTTATATAAATAATTTTTAAAAATAAAAATAAAATCTAGTTTCTTTTCTAATGTAGAAATAATGTAAAGTTACAAAAAGGTCCACAGTCCTTTCTTAGTGTACTGACAGTGGGGTTCTGTGAGGGGTAGGGTGAACAAGGCCCATTCGTAAAATAACACTACGACACTGCCGCATTGTCGTGCCAGCCTTTGAGAGAATTAGCCTAGACATAAACCTGAACTTTGACTCAGTGAAATTGGCATCCTGCACTCGTAAGGGAATATGCGCGGCAAAATAAAATCACAACATTTTGTGTTTTTCGACATGATAGGTTTCTTGCACTTTTGGATACTTTGTCCATGTTTGTATTAAGATAATAATAACTTTAAAGAGAAAACACATTTTTAGTTTTTTAAATTACCATTTTTATGACCCTATCAATAAAAAAAAAACAATTTTTCCCAATCTTACACGCTCTCTATGAAAAGTTTTATATCCGTCATCATATTGTATTTAGCATTATTGGAAAGCTGAATTTCTCCTTTATTTGATAATTTTAATTTCCATCATCTCGGAAACACCCAAAGCTTACAATCGGCTTTTCAGTTTACACAGATATAACATTTTCGTGGCCTATTTTTCGTTACTTTTGGCTGTTTTTGTCAGTGCGAAGGTTTTTAACACTATAAATTCTACTACTTATTTATTTATTAAACAATCGCCACCGTATTTTCAGTAATTGCTCTACGTGTATAAATACAACTTTTGTCACGAGTGAATTGTGATGGCTTTCATAGAAAAAAAAGTATTTGGTAATTAACAGGAAAATTTTGAAACTTTTGAACACTAAAAATGGAACGATTATTTTGAAATGTATGACACCTATACAACCCTATCGGTTTTTTTAGCTTCTTTTAAAGGTTTTACGAAACAATTTACGCAGTTATTAAATTTGACATTTATTAGTTACGTCCCATTTAAATATTTAGAACAAGTAAGGTAATTAATGCATACTTTTCTTCCTAAATGCTTTTAAACAGAAGTGTGATAGTAGTTGAATTAAAATATGATATTACATTCCAATATGTTTTAATAATATGTATCAAACATTAATGTATGTGCATATTTTAACATGCGCTATAGGTAATACCAATTCATTACATGATGTAAAAATATTAACCTTTAAACTATTGTATATTGTATTTTGTTGAGGTGCAAAACTTCAGTATAAACTATGTTTACGAACCAGCAGATATTCCTTTAATCGTTGTTAACTCAAATAAATCATAAAGATGCTCATCGTTGAGTCGAGATCTATATCTTGATTTTATTAAGGTCATGTTTGAAAACAATGATTCGCATAAATATGTCGAACCGAAAAATGATTCAAATGGCACTAGCCGTTCCAGGCTAGCGTAAATAGTGCAGTCTGGCTCGCCGCTAGGTCTCATTGACCTAGATTTTACTTCCGGCTAACTCGACGAAATCCGAGACAAGACTTTAAAGGAAAATGTCAACGAAAGCCGAAACGGGAGATTAATAAAGGCTGCTATCACAAGCTTGAAAGAGCGAGGTGGTTCTTCACGACAGGCCATCCTTAAATACATAATGGCAAACTACAACGTTGGAAAAGATGAGAAAACCATCAACAGCCACCTGAAGATGGCTCTCCGTGCTGGAGCCAAGAATGGAAACTTGAAGCAGTCCAAAGGAGTTGGTGCATCTGGCTCATTCAAGATTGGTGCCAAGGAAGAAGCAAAGCCAAAGGCTAAATCACCTAAAAAGGCTGAGAAACCAAAGGCTGTCAAGCCTAAATCTCCAGCCAAAGCCAAAAAGCCCAAGGCAAAGAAAGCTGCAGCTCCTGCTGCCGCACCTGCAGCCAAAAAGCCAGCTGCATCCAAGAAGCCAAAATCTCCCAAGAAGGCTGCCGCTAAGAAACCCAAGGCACCTAAACAAGCAGCTGCGGCTAAACCTAAAAAGCCCAAAACACCCAAAAAGAAAGCCTCTCCAAAGAAAGCAGCGCCTGCAAAGAAAGCTGCACCCAAAAAGGAAAAGTAAAAGTGTGATATAAAAATTGACTGAGAAAGGACTCGATAAATTATTTCATCCAGATTTCTATGACAACTAACAAATGACTCTGGATTGTGGATTTCTGACAGACATCTTTCATTTGTAATATATTTCATTTTCATACCCTTCGCATATCATCATGCCATTATGTTCAAGCAATTGTTATATTTGCCCTACATATGCACCATTGCCTGCTTTCTCATCCTCATTATTTTAACATGATGTCCTATTCGGGTTATGTTGCAATCTGCAAGGTTGTGGTATGAATCCATGACCAATAAAGTAACATGTGATAAAAAAAAAAAAAAAAAAAAAAAAAAAAACTCAAATAATTGAAAGGGAAGAATGTTTGATTTATGTGTCTCGTTGTAATAAGAAAAGTTTCCAATTGCTTAAAATTTTGTATCATTATAATTCTCCGTAGTCACAAATTTATTTCAGCTCTACTTAAAAACCTAAATTTCATCCCGCCCCCCCCCCCCTTCACCCACCACGCCGAGGGAACAAAATCTATAGAATCATCATTTAATTACACATTTGCATTTTCAGGTTGGTTTTTTTTTTTAATTTTTTTTTTTTTTAATTTTTTTTTTTTTTTTTAATATTTAGACATTTTGTATTAGATCTTTGTAGAAGTAAACCATCTTAAATGAATAAAAGTAGGCTACAAGTAAGAAAGAAATATTTCTATCGTCAATCTGTATTAGTCCTCACAAGCCGGTGATGAAAACTGTAATACTAAAGCGAAGACACACAACTGACGCTGTAAATTACATGGCTGAGGCAAAAAAAAAAAAAGAGAAAAAAAAAGTTAACTCATACATCTCCCAACTCCCAAACCTCTTAGAAGCGCCAACCTACAGCAAAATAATAGACGCTCAACATTACAACACACCACATAAGTAGAGATGGAGGCAACATAAGCCCCTAGCACACACAATACTATAATAAAATACAGGTATTGTACTGCTACAAGAAACAAACTTCTCAGACATACAACAAGCACAACACATTAATAATGCAGCACAATGCCTAGGACAAAAATGCAGAATAACAAATATACTTAACATTTCCAATACGTAAATGATCTGGAAAATGACACCGAATGAAGACTAACCAGCTCAACAATATCAGACAACACTAATTAACATCTATGCTCCAACCGGTAAACGAGATAAAGAAAACAATGTATATAAACCTGTTCAAAAAATAAATACTTTCTTGGCGACATTGCACAGTTTTCCTTTTCAGCATTACGAGGCTATTCTTGTTGGCCTCGTGTGTAATTGTAATAAATCTTTAACTTGAGACCCCTTAAGAAGTTAAACAAGAAAAAAAAACAACCATAAAACTCGCTGCATTGAAAAGAAATCAACTGAATCATATAAATCAAACAATGTTTAATGGTCTGACAGGCATATTACACAAAATACTAAGGATTTAATAAATTAACACATAAAGAACAACACAGTATCTTTACACACAGTAAAGGCCACAACACATTGAAATAACAAGTAAAAAGCTAAACGTTGGTCCTTGCAAAACGTGTCGTCTTGTCATGGCCCCTGAGAGTGCAGAGAAGTAGGCGTATGTGTCATATGTGCTAAAAATATGTAAGGATCAATTAGAGTGGCACATTTCAAAAGAGAAAAAAAAACTGTTCTTCTGATATAGATTAGTTTACATATTGTTTCTAATATTTGGAGATTAGGATAAACTTACATTACAATTCAAAACTCTCTGACCTTGAAGTAAATAGTCGCGCGAAACATAATATGCATTAAGTCTTCTCATTGTAATTTTCTTTAGAACGCCTTGTAATTTTTTCAAATGTGCGAGAATACTAACAACATATATGTAAACTTGCCATCTACTTTTTGTGCTGTATCCAGCTATAAAGAGTTGAGCGTTGATATATATATAATTTTTCATAACAATGATTTATGAATTATTTGTGAAAAATATCTGTTACTACGCAAATAGTGGCTATTTGTTTGAGTATGTAAAGTTAGAAAATTATCTTTGCATACTATAATAGTCTAGTATTTATACATTTTATTTACGTAATATAAAAATACATAGGTAGATTGAATGCTTTTTTTCCCACGTTTTCTTTAACGGGGCGCCGTGATTTTCTTACAGTTTCTAATACTGTTGACTCTCTACAAGCTCCCTAATAAAAGTCAATAGTATTATCTAATCAATAGTAATATAACTTTTACTTCGGCGCCCCACGTTTTTCGTCGCTTATAGTAGAGTGATCGCTTGCATTATTGTGATGTATAGCAATTATTACTTTCCTGATTATTTTAAATACCTGCAAAGGGAAGTCATCAAATCAAATAGCAGTGAAAAGCAAGACGCCGGATTTACATCCCTTAATTTATGTTTCCCCAATTATTTCTTCAACCGTAGAGCGGAACTCTCTAGTAGAACTTGCTTACGGTTTCATATAAACACCATACCCATGAGCTATAAGCCCACACTACACCTTAAATGTAGAATATTTAGCATATTAAGTCTTAGTTACAATACTATCAAAGATCCACAACAAAAGCTCACGTTTACTCCCCCTCCCCATCCCCCACTTTAAACAGATAAAGATAAATATACAATGTTATAGTCGTTATAGTCTTCAAATTGATCTTTTATTAATTCACTAGGGTTATGTTGTTATTTTATAAGTGCATGTCTCGCATGTTACTGCAAGGTTTTTTTAAGCGTCCCTGGGTAGGCGTGGTCATGTAGCATACGATGTTGACACTTGCTACTACAACTCATATGCCTTTATCGTCACCACAACACACACACACATCAAGACATACACACCACAACACACACAACCATCAAGACACACACACCTTCACATTGAATTTCACCAACTACGTCAAGACGCGAATTGTCGGAAACCTGAGAATGGTACACCTACAGTCATCAACCAAACACTTGAACGAAAACACTCTTACATGCATCTAAAAAAAAAAAAAAGGTCCGTTGTATTATTGACGCCAACAACCATATGATCATCACCATCTACCATTACATTGAAGTGAGTTACAACGACAAATCTATCGATATACTCCAGCCCTAATTATCTAACCACACCACATAGGCTAACTGCTAACAAGTCTAACGCTTTACAATTCGATATTTTGGATTAAATGATGTGTTCTTAATGATTTTATTAAACAAAATTTGCTTTGTAATTGTGCAGTTATATGTGAACACAATAAAAACAAAATTACCTTGCGCTAGGGTGTGTTACCTACCAGTTTACAGTATGTATCAATGGCTGCTATGTTGTCCTATATGGCTGGTAGGTAGGTCACCGACCAGTTATTTGACTAATGCAGGTTTTATTTAGACGTAGAACTGGTTGGTGACCTACTTACTAGCCCTATAGAATACCCTAGGTAATTCTGATCGGTAGAATATCAACTAATAAATAGTACCATTGTCACCATCACAACAATCCCTACTTCATTACCATCACGCACCTTCATCACTAATACCATTGCAATTTACCATTCTTCCTTTCACTATTTAAAGAGCAGTAGTTCTTAAACTAGTTTTGTTGAACCCTGAAGGTTGTGTGAGGTTAGTCTCAGCAGAGTTTAAGACACACCCAACTCTAATGATTCACGATCGAAATTTGTCACTGCAGACGATATAACTATTATTAAGAAAGATTCAAATGCGTACATCTAACCTCCAAAACGTTTAAGAACTACTGCCCTAAGGCGTTCTCGTTTTACTAGCTTATACAATTGATAATGGCAGTAATACATCGTGTCTTTGTTTATAACAAATCATTCGCAGGAAGTAACACAATGCACACACTTTATCGTTAAAGCATATCTAAACCGTTACACTAACGTTAAAGCGTTCTATCTCATTCATGCCTATCAACAAACTTTCCATACATTATGTCACTAAGTCAATTTTCTGCTCTTGCCGACTGATTCTCACTAAAACACAAATGTTATAACACAAACAAATAGAAATAACAAATACTCTAGGCCGATCCGTGTGTATTTCATAGTTTTTAACTAGCAGTAAAACACCATAACAATCAGCACCATTTCCGCAGCATTTTTGTTATGCGATCGCGCTCTCTAACTGTTCTACCTGAAATCAGCATGATTTGGACGAGTTACTTCTAACACTTATACCTCTAAGTTTTATAGCTTCTTTTAATGTTGTTACTAAGCAATTTACACAGCTATTCAATAATACTAATAACAGTTACTTCCCATCTTCACATAAAGAACATATAAGGTATATAATCTGCAGTGTTTCTTCTCAAATGCAATTTAAAGATAAATGTAATTGTGGTTGGAAAAAAATGCGAGATTTGTTTACCTATATAATAACACAAGTTTGTGCAAAACTGTATTTGTTTTATGATTTGCTTCTTATTGAATTTACAATTATCATTCTCTACTTTATTTAAAATATAAACTTTAGGTACGTTAATATTTTTTTTGTTGAGATGCAAAACTTCAGATTAAGCAACAATAGGCATCGGTCCACCATCACTAGCTTTATTAATAATTTTTAAGAAAATAATATTGAAAAAAAAAAGAAAATCATATTGACAATAAAGTTGAAGACAAATTTTAATCAATTGAAGTAACTCTTGTAAATTAAACAAGGCCCAGAAAATAACCCCACCATGCGCTTAGGGCCAAAACTACCTGTATACATTGTCAGATTTTCACTGCTTAAATTATTCTTATTTTAAAATTATTTTTTCATCAACTGCACACCTTCATTCACAAGAAAATTAAAAACAAATGTCTAATAACCCCCAAAAATAATTTTTAAATATTTTTTAATGAAAATAAAACACTGCAAAATAAAATGTTCCTAGCAAAACACGGAGTCACGATATGCATTTAGAACGGCAGTTTTAGAGAGAACATCAATAACGTATTCGTGTAGAGATAAATAAATAGTGAATAGCCTTATCTTAACATATATTATTTTGATAAAGCATGGACACAAAATTGGCGTAACAAATATAACATAAGATATTATGTCAATCATCTCCGCT